GCAGTCTCAATTGGCCGTCTCCGGTGCTATCGTTTGCGTCATCTTTTGGCTTGGTAGTATCATCAATAAAATAATCGATTATATACTGTTCACCTGCGTTTTCGAAATTGTACTGGCGGCGCTGTGAGAGACACTCGCCTCTCTCATGTCCCCGACACGTGGAACGGGTTCTGCAAGGGAGTGTCCATAAATTACGTGAGATGTTTAAGGGGGGTCGAGTCAAATCTCATCTAATCTTACGTTGGAGTCTCGGCAAATATCAAGATTTAAGAGAGAACAAAAAAAATACTATTTTGGTCTATTTAAGCCAGATTGTATATGTTTAAGATTTAATCTTAAGCGTAATCGTAATACGATTAAGATCATTCATTAATTCGTTCAAAAGAAAAGAATTTCATTTATACTTCGACGTTATACATCTACTGACTGTCAAACCACCATATTTGCTTTATACCAAATAGCTCAATTTAATCTGAATAAAATAAAAGCACGAAGTTTTTTCTTTTTACAATAACAATCCAAAGTGTTTACGTAGGTAAGAAACTCACATTTTGAAAATTCTCACGTTAGATTGGGGGATGGGGAAAGGGGTTGAATAATTTAATTCTCAACATCTCACCAGGGGGGAGGGAGCATGGAGGGAGGGACAGAAAATTCAAAAATACACCTCACGTAATTTATGGACGTCCCCCCAACGGAGCACGGTGCGGATCTCCGCGTCTCCACCCTCCCGCTTAAAGCGGGCTGCTTTTGCTGCGGCTGGTTCTAAAATTTTAAAACTTTGTTTTTTCTAGAGCAGGCCTATGTCTAGCAGCAATGGGCGTTCATCGGCTGCTGCTGTTTTATATGAAATATTTTAAAGTAATTACCTAAAGAAGAGCACATTTTTATTATTTTTATATCCAATGCTTTCTTTCTTTGTCAGTAAGGAACGAGACTACCGAATGTGTTTTGCTGGAGAGATATTATGCAGAGCAAATAAATTGATCTAAAATAAATGATACACAGTAAATAATCGTTTAAAAATATTTAATGAAATACTTGTTATATTTATTTATAAAACTTTGTATAAATTATTATATTTACATTAACAGAGTTTTGCTTGGTAACTTATAACATATATAGTATTAATCTATGGGTTTACCCACAGATAAATGATTGGTCTCGCTTCACTCAACTAGATACCGCGCTTTGAAAAAACAACAGCTCCGAAAATGCGGCAACTCATTAATGTAGTGTGTGTATGTCAATTTGCAATGATGCTATCAAATGTCATAAATCGTGTCAGTTGCTCAACTGCTACCCAAGCAATAGGGAAAATATTGTAAAATGCGTATTTACGCATTAATATGCGCGACAACCCCATCCAATTCGGATCCGTAGCTTTGAGATTATCATGGTCAAACATGCATACATAATTACATACAGATCAAACTGAGAATATCCTTCTTTGAAGTATGTTTAAAGACCGACTGTGCAGCCGGAACCGCAGCAATATATAAAAAAAGATTAAACTATAAGTATAAATAAATGTTTCTTAATGCGTTAGTTATGTTCATTTGTTTAAAAATATAAAATGAATTGTTTATTTGTCATCTTAACCCTAAAATAATTTAAATATTATGATGAAATTAAAAAGAAAACTACACAACAAGCATGGTAGTTAAGTCAAGCAATATGCTGAATTGTGAAACTAGAAACTGTGTAAATAATAAGAGTCAGTTTACAAGCAAATGTGTTAAAAAATGTTATTAAAAATTATAACAGAATATCATAGGAATAAAAGGTAGATTACAAAGATAAACGTTGAATAATTTAAAACTAGGTTAAGTTTAATTGCAAGTTTAATAGTAAGTTTAAATAACATAGGTTCAATAATAAAATACACTTACAATAACTTCACATTATAAATAAAAATCTCAACCATAGGGACTACATTCTTGTTTGTATACGCGGCAACACCTGAATGACGTTTGGGGTTCATGTTGTTTTATGTTGAAATTTCGAAAATTTACTATACTTATTGATGTTAAGTGATCCCAGCGTCCTTGTTATTTATTGTTGTATTATTTCACTACATAAACGGGCATTTTACTTCCGATTAACACCAAATTTTAATAAAACATTCACTACGTGCACCCCATACACAACCGTCAGGTTGACTGGCTCGGTGAAAGCTCGGGTATGCCGATTTCGGCATAGTATTTGTTGCCGCATTATACCCGCCATACACACTACGAGAAATCGCTACGATCAGACTGTACAGTTCGAACGGTACAGTTTATACGATTTCGTTTAGTATAGGAAACTGTGCAGTTTTATAACATACACGCTACGATTTATCGGTACCGTTCGGACTGTACAGTCTAATCGTAACGATTTATCGTAGTGTGTATGGCGGGTATTAGACAAGTACGCCGGCGGTATCTAGTCGACTGAGGCGAGACCAATCATTCATCTATGGGTTTACCTATAATTTAAATTAATAATAGTTAAGTATCAATTTCAACATTTCGGTCAGTAATGAATGCCTTTACATCCTCGCAGCTGTACATAGGTATACAATACATGCTCAAAATACATATACAGCTGTATGAAACTCGAATTCTAAGGGTGGGCATTGTCCCCTCTAGCTCCACCCCTAGCTACGCCTATGATTATGCCAAATCAACGCAACGCTATGGCATTTTTTATCTTTTAAAAAGTAGTACAAACTGTTTCGAATCCTGTCTGATGCCCAAGGCAAAGCACGAATTTTGACAGTAAATTTTGTAAGGAAGGAGCCAGTTTGTTCTTACATCCGGTAGGGGCGCTGTTTAGTTTTCATAAAACTTTGATGATATAATACGATCACCTACGGAGCTGTAAAAATTCGTGCTTTGGCCTCTCATCCCTGGACTTAGACACAGTTCAGACAAATTTGAATCTTAAACTCGTGTTGAACGCATGATCACCTTTTTGTGGTAATAAGGTTGGTGTTATGGAATCTAAACTTCGCGTTTTCAGTGCAAGGACGAGAATCAAAATGATTTGGCATTGATTGGATGTAAGCTGAAAAGGTACTGCTGGTCTATAAAATTTCAGTCTTACTATCAATATAAAGAAGCGATCGAAGTGGAAAATTTATTCACAAAGAGGAATAGGCTTAGATTAAAACAAAAAAGGAAGATTTGGTACGCTCATACCAGCATCAAGGTGGGGTGCTGTACCCTTAGCACGAACCATTATCGAAAACGAATAGTTTGCGAGTCGGAACTGACATTGTCAAATTTTGTATGGAAACTTTAACAGCAGCGCCATAAAAGTGTTGCTGTGAAATTTGTTATTTGTTCTTGAACTTTTTGTGTTTTTATAAAAGCATCGAAGTCATAGTTATATCTTTATAACACAGAATATACGCAATATTGTTATATTGAGTGCACATGCAGCGTGTTTGAATGTCCTATTGTAACTAAAGCGAATTGTGGTCATGCACCACAATTTAAGCGGATTACTTTTGAGCCGCGAGTGCCGTATCTTCCCTTTTTGTTTTAATCTAAGTTTATAGGTAGATAGTTAAGTTAAACATTACATAAATATTTACAATCGGTACCTTCAATAACAGCATGTCATATTTGATAAAGATGTGAGTTTTTAATGTCAAGATATATATGTAGTTACTTCTCTACCGACTATAAATTTTATTATACCCAGCGAGAAAGCCAGCTGGCTATATTGTCAATTTTGGACAGTTTGACCGGCTGTTTGTAGGTATAATGCAATTTAAACTTAATGGCGGTTGTGAAGTTATAAAGAAGCGCAAGTAAGTAGGCAGTAGGTAGTAAGGTACCTGATACAAATAAGGCCTATGCTGAAAAAATGCCTGTAATGCGGTAAAGTCCATTTCAATACATTTACATCAAAAATACACGCATACACGACAGTTCCACGACTCGGCAAACAGTGCGCGAGCAGCCCTTCTGTGCTCGCAGCGATGGTAGTGGCGGTAGTTTGTAAAGGACGAGCGTTTTCATTGCGCGTTATTAATTTGTCTTAATTTCTGTCGAATTTTAATACGTTATTATGTTAAGTTAGGTTTCATGTCATGTATACGTGTCACAATATAACCCATCATTAAGGTAACTATGACTTTAAATTGTTTTTTTTTAATATGCGAATTAAATACTGCTTATACTATTTATGAATACTATTGCACTAAATAAATCCTTCTTTTTAATAGGAAAACTGCGCTCGTTGCGAACTTCACAATCGAAATAATGTTTGAATCGAATTTTACATACGTTATAGGGTTATATTATAGTAAACAGAATTCACATCTAATATGTTATACTTATAATACATTGCTTACAAACTTTTTCTTTCATATACAATTATGACATGTAAAAATAAGTCCCCAAAATTTTACAATTTTGGTTGTCTTTTATAGCATGAAGTTTAATTTTTGAATTATTACAGGATTATTTAACCCACTTATTATCTATATTGTTGGATGAGAGCGTTTACGGAGAGCCGGTTTTACACACGTTTGCTTCAGCTCTGCAGCCACGGCAGGCATAACCTTATTTGGAAATCACACAACACAGACGTGAGACACTGTCATCAATGCAAAGCGACATGATGAATATTTGTTAAGATAAAAAAAAATTATATATCGTCATATTTAGTATGATATCGCGCTACAGCTATACTGTGTCCCATAAACAATGATTTGTTTATAGTTGTGAGATCTTTGTTGCCATATGCATGCGAGTGTGAATATGAATACATGCATTAGTGTAGCTAGGAAGTTTTCTCAGGGGGCAGCCGTCCAGTTGAACTAATATTCATTCTTTTTAGTTTAATTTGAAAAATTCAACACTTGGGTGGGCAGAAATTCTAGGGTGAGCATTTGCATTTCCTACGATTGCCCCCTACTACTAGCTCATGAATATAGGCTGCCACAATATCCGTAAACAGGCTGCAGCAATATCCGTTAACAGAAAAATGTCGCGTCGGGAAGCGTCTAGGGTCCGGATTAGTCCGGACATGTCCGAAGGTTTAGACTATAGTCTAAATATTTTCGTCGTATTATTGTCGTTAAATTGTCCGGATTTTTTAAATTACATTGAATATGAATAATAAAGGTACATATTGATTTAAATACTAAACCATTGTAACCAAGTGATTAATGGTACGTTTTGTGACTAAAAAGTCCGGACTTTTTTCGAAATGTCAAAACTTTTGAAATTCCTAAATGGTAAACCTAGACGGGCCGCAAAAGACCACTCCACAAGCGATGCGCAACGCTCTGCGTCTCCGTAAAAAAACCAAGACTAGGCAGTTAAAATATGCTAATAGTATTGAAGGGGCGATAGGAAATGGTATCAACTTATTCTTCTTCTTTGACAAAAAACCTTATTCTTATCAAAAAATTCTTGCACAAAATTTACTAAACTTTTTTTTTCAATTTGCGTTAAGTAGGTACTGCTTTTCAATTGCGTCTTCTATGATAACAGTAATAGTATTTCATTACATCAACATATTTTTTTAATAGATTGCTAACAATATACTAATATTTCTAGAGATTTAATTTTGTTGGATTAATCGTAATTCCATTTTATTTTGAGTATTTATCACAGAAACAAGGCTCGAATGATATAACTAGGTATATTAAGTATTTGCCCATAGGGTCGTTACTGATTTTTTAACATAAAATCACATCTTAAATAAAGTGTTCAGAAAAATGAACTTGATGTCATAGAAAGAAAGAAAATATTAATTGCATAAAAGATAACATGTCAACCAAAGATAAAAAAGGAGAGAATAGATATCAATAAAATTTACATTAAAGTTATGTTACTGGGATATAGGAATTTTGTGTTATGAACATACAATTTTTACAATGTTCCTTTTTGTTCCTTAGTAGCAATATTTGTGTAAGGACATATTCCAGTCCGGATTCAAACTAGTCACTGATGATCATCAACTACGATATAAAGAATAACAAAAAAAAACTTTTAGCACAAAATTCTTTGATATCGCTATTCACAAAAAATGTTAACAAGTAATTTTACTAAATTGTTTACTGCACTAATTGAAGAGTGAGCAAATAATAAAATGAAATACAAACGAATTGTGTGAATTTAAGACACTTAATAAGACTCTTTGGCATTTACATGCAGTCACACTATATGCCATATTTTTCTGTATTAAATTACTTTAGATTGTGATCGCAACTTTAACATTGGTGTCGATTCTGGCATGGTTCTTCTTCTTCCTTTCTAAACTAAAAAAATAATATAACATCAGTCTCCCTTTTCCATTATGTTTAGAAAATAACAAGGATACACTGTTGTCAAATTTAACTTTAGGTTTGGAGAATCATGCCAGAATCGACACCATTGACATAGTTAAATTATTCTATTTATAAAGTTTTTATTAATTTTTAAACTTAAATTTATTTTTGTGATATAAATATATAATATAAAATCTATCTATATTAGTCTGGTGTTCTAGATCTAGGTGGTTCGTGGCCAAAGCAGTGTTTATGTGTTGGGTCTTTGTAAGAATTTTCATGTAATACACTATGAGAACTTGTACGACACTTCGTTAGACAGAGTTCATAATCATCTGTAAGTGTGCGAAAAAGCACATTCTCTTCCGCTGACAGTTTGGACAGCACCAGCTCTAAAAGATCTCTCTAGAAATAAAAGATAAAATTAAATCAGGCTGTTGTCTCTATCTCAATTAGTACAGTTAAGTGGTTTCAGAATGTAAGTGTAAAATTCTCATGTTTTCATTAAACTATTACAAATTTAGTGTTTTCTAATAAAACATATATGTAGCTTTTCCGTTAAATTGACATGATTTTGATTGAGTTTAGATTTGGCAGCATCGAAATAAAAAATTAAAGTAATAACATTAATCTCACCTTACTAGGTTCTAAGCAACAGGAAACACAGTGCTCATAAACAACACAGCAGTGGTTATCCTGGCAAGACTCACAGTTGTACCTCTGTGAGTAGTCAGACAGTGGGTCACAGCAACCATTCTTCATAACATCAGTTCTTTGGCAAATGTATCCTGAAATAATAATAAAAAAAAAATATAATAAAAAAAAATTACAAAGAAAATTTTTACTAGAAAATAAAATTCAAATGACAACTTGGAATTTTTATATAAAGGAGCAGATAAGATTCTAACCAGCACCCTCCACAGGATAGCGGAATGTTTGGAATTTTATCTAGTAAAAATTTTCTTTAGATTCATAAATCTAGCAGTTAAATGCCTAAAATAAAAATATAATATATTTATATTACATACTCAAACAAGTATTTTATAGATATTATTTTGCCTCGTGTATTTGAATATGGTAAAAAAAAAACAGCTAGTGAAACATGTGATCATAAATACAATCATATTTTAATATTTTTAAGCATTTTACTGCTAGATGTTTAAATGTAACGAAAATTTTACAGGAAAAAATTCACCTTTTCAACTGCACCCCCTTCTATCAGGGTGGATGCACTGGCCATTGCTTATTGGGACCACGGTAGCATAATGGTCAGTGCATCAGCCCGGATAGTGGAGGGTGCAGGTACGAGTCCCATCTGCTGCCTGGTCACAGTACTGTTTTAATTTATTCTTTTTAACCCCAACAGTAAACAGCGGACTTAATGCCATAGGCATTCTCTTCCAGTCAACCAGTTAGGATGTAGGAGACAAATGTTATGACAATAGAATAGAATGGCCACTAAAGTTATCATAAAATAAACCAAAAACTACTTAATTAATTAACTATACGATACAATAATAACAAAAAAAAATTTTTTTTAAATAAAATACAAATTGTAACATGTTTAAAAGGTCATCATATGAGTTTTGTTTGTAAACAAAAATAGAAGGTCTCTCTTAAGGTTGACTCCTTCATTCTCCTTTATCATAGATCGTTTTTGTTAGTCTATGCGTTTTTTATTTTCTGTGGCTTAAAAAGACTTTTAGTCCAGTCAACAAGTTCAAAAACGTGAAAAATAGAGATAAAGCTCCTAAAAATATGAGCAATAGCTCATTGGATTCGTAACGACCTCTAGAAAAATGAGTTTTGAGGATTTTACTGCACGTAAAAAATTGCAATTGTTATTAACAAAATAAGATGAAAAAAAAGAGGTATTTACGTTTTTGTTAATAACTCATAAACTATTAATATTTACGATATTTGGAAAAAATGTCCTTAAAGAGGAGGAAATTTACGAAATAAAAGTCCCAGCTCCCGGAACTCTACCTCTATTATTTATAATTTTAATTTAACGCTGAAAATAGGGCTCCGCGCAGCCATTACGGCATGGGCGCACTGCCGTTAAAGACAGTTTCTTACATAAAATTATTTTTTTATAGTAACAAATATGAATTTAAAAATTTAAATAAATTATGGTGTCATCCAGATACTTGAAAGAATATATTCCCCTTGGAAAATTTTTTTAAATTAATTTTTCAAAAAGTTATGCAATTGTTAATTAACGAATTTTTTTCCTATCTCCGTTTTCATAAATGACGACATAAAAATTTAAATAATAAACCTATAAATTTTTGGCTCTGTGGAGCTCTTCTTATATGTATACTTAACAAGATCCCGCGATAAAAGTTTATTAAAGTTAATTATTTTGTTTATAAAAAATTTTTAAAGTTAACAAAAAATGAAAAGTCTAAGAAATGTTATTAAAAAATTTTTTTTAAACAAATGTTATATTATTGCTGCTTTCTTATCCAACAATGGCATTAGGTAACATCGGAAAAAAAATTTTTACATCATTTGTTAAGAAATTGTTTATAAACAAATAGACAAGTTTAATATTGAAAGAAATTGTTTATTTACCATTATGTTGTCTTGGCAAAATAAGGATTTTTAAAAAAAAAATTTTTCTTAAATAATTTTTTTTATTGTTTATAATCGTTTTTTTTATATTTCGATTGTTTAAATAATTAGTTAAGGAATGATTTTCTCTTTAAAAATCATAATTGGCATTTCTTCATAGGTAAATAGAAAAAAAAAAAATTATCAATAATTTCATTGTTTGTTAACTTAACAATTTGTTATAAACAAACTCTAACTACCGTTATATTTTTTTTCTAGAGCTAAAAAAAATAGCAAAAACAGCCATATATATCAAAATACTAAAAAAAATTTTTTTCTATTTTTTATAACGCTTTTAAATATTACACGATACCAAAGTTGCACCGGACACTTGATTTGTCAAGTAAAAAATTAATATAACTTATAAACTATTCGAGATACGATAACGGACATTGAGGTCGTTTTCATAAAGCATTAATTAATCTTCAAAATAAGCTAAAAACCAAGTTTGTAACTATTGTTTATCAGCTAATACATGCATTTGTTTATAAAAATTTGAGATTTCTTTAACTTTTTCGTATCTCTTATGACTTACAACTTAATAAATAATTAAAATACAGCTATAAACCTTAAAACAATTTTGTTTAGCGATACATTATCTCCCAAATTATTACCTCGATGTTAAATTGAACACGAGTTAAATAAATATTAATTAAGTCACGTATATTGTTTAAACAATTAGAGATGGAGGTACGATTAATTGATAATTTGGGAGATAATGTATCGCTAAACAAAATTGTTTTAAGGTTTATAGCTGTATTTTAATTATTTATTAAGTTGTAAGTCATAAGAGATACGAAAAAGTTAAAGAAATCTCAAATTTTTATAAACAAATGCATGTATTAGCTGATAAACAATAGTTACAAACTTGGTTTTTAGCTTATTTTGAAGATTAATTAATGCTTTATGAAAACGACCTCAATGTCCGTTATCGTATCTCGAATAGTTTATAAGTTATATTAATTTTTTACTTGACAAATCAAGTGTCCGGTGCAACTTTGGTATCGTGTAATATTTAAAAGCGTTATAAAAAATAGAAAAATTTTTTTTTTAGTATTTTGATATATATGGTTGTTTTTGCTATTTTTTTTAGCTCTAGAAAAAAAATATAACGGTAGTTAGAATTTGTTTATAACAAATTGTTAAGTTAACAAACAATGAAATTATTGATAAAAAAATTTTTTTTTTCTATTTACCTATGAAGAAATGCCAATTATGATTTTTAAAGAGAAAATCATTCCTTAACTAATTATTTAAACAATCGAAATATAAAAAAAACGATTATAAACAATAAAAAAATTTATTTAAGAAAAATTTTTTTTTTTAAAATCCTTATTTTGCCAAGACAACATAATGGTAAAAAAACAATTTCTTTAAATATTAAACTTGTCTATTTGTTTATAAACAATTTCTTAACAAATGATGTAAAAATTTTTTTTCCGATGTTACCTAATGCCATTGTTGGATAAGAAAGCAGCAATAATATAACATTTGTTTAAAAAAATTTTTTTAATAACATTTCTTAGACCTTTCATTTTTTGTTAACTTTAAAAAATTTTTATAAACAAAATAATTAACTTTAATAAACTTTTATCGCGGGATCTTGTTAAGTATATATATAAGAAGAGCTCCACAGAGCCAAAAATTTATAGGTTTATTATTTAAATTTTTATGTCGTCATTTATGAAAACGGAGATAGGAAAAAAATTCGTTAATTAACAATTGCATAACTTTTTGAAAAATTAATTTAAAAAAAATTTTCCAAGGGGAATATATTCTTTCAAGTATCTGGATGACACCATAATTTATTTAAATTTTTAAATTCATATTTGTTACTATAAAAAAATAATTTTATGTAAGAAACTGTCTTTAACGGCAGTGCGCCCATGCCGTAATGGCTGCGCGGAGCCCTATTTTCAGCGTTAAATTAAAATTATAAATAATAGAGGTAGAGTTCCGGGAGCTGGGACTTTTATTTCGTAAATTTCCTCCTCTTTAAGGACCTTTTTTCCAAATATCGTAAATATTAATAGTTTATGAGTTATTAACAAAAACGTAAATACCTCTTTTTTTTCATCTTATTTTGTTAATAACAATTGCAATTTTTTACGTGCAGTAAAATCCTCAAAACTCATTTTTCTAGAGGTCGTTACGAATCCAATGAGCTATTGCTCATATTTTTAGGAGCTTTATCTCTATTTTTCACGTTTTTGAACTTGTTGACTGGACTATTTGTCTAGACTGATTTCTTTGCTTGGCTTTTGGAAGGAACAAAAAGGAAGAAAATTTTAACGTCACTCCACAAGACAATTTTTTACATACAAGATGAGAATTAAGTAATCACAATTATTTACGTGTTAAAATTTTAAGTTTATCACTAATTTGTGTTTTCTTTAAAATATTTCACTTTACATATAGATTTTGTTTTGGCAGGAGACATAAGTTTGCCGTGGAGATGGCTGTCGGCCTGTTTGTCTAATTTAAAAAAAAAACAGTGAGAACCATCAAAATTTCTTTTGTTTTATACATTTTCTTTTGTTTTGTGCTATGTGCTATTTTATTTATACTTTAAAAAAATATATATATTGGACCATGACATAACTCTTTGTCATTACCTGGCACAGTGTGAGATTTTGGATGAGTTGCGGACACCCTAGTTTTAGCTTTTGTATATATACTTTATAACATAGTAAAGCCGTTAGTTCAGTTACCAATCAAATATCTTGTAGAATTTTCAAGATATGATTTTTTTTCTATGATGTCACTCACTACCCAAATTTATGTTTATTTCTTTCATTTCCAAAATAATAGGTAAAGCCGTCTGTAAATTATAATTATAGTCAATTAACATTAAACTTATGATAAAAAAAAGAAATTAGCTTAATATCTTTGTTATACATTGAGATATATTTTTTTTTCATTTTTTTTTATTTTTTCATTTTATTATTAAGTTTGCTGATATTAGCATTTTATTTGACTAACATAATACGTAAGATATGTATATATATAACACCACAAAATATCACTACATTATCCCGAAGGATCTCGGAACTATAGCATTTCTAAGTTTTTTTTCGTTTTCTATGGAAATAGGGTTGACACTTTTTAAAGTAAAAAAATATTCAATTAAAAACTTATATTCAATTGCATAACCTTTATTTAAAGATAAAGGTTATGCTTAAATGATATATGCAAATGTCAGTCAATATATTTACAGATTTAAATAATAATTATATTCAATCATCCTCATCATTATCGGAATGAATCAATATTTCATTCGATTCGAGCTCGATATTCATCATTTCTGTGCTCTCTTGATCATGGATTACGACTTTTTCTGGCGGCGATGACGGTTTCAAAAGAAAAAGCACCTTTTCAGGAATAGGTAAGCGCTTGGTTTTTTGTTGACGACTGCTGAGGGACAAAGACGAAAGGTAAGGATCTGATGATTCTAGTGCTCGGCGAAATAAGTCAAGAATTGTTGTTTTGCGATCTAATTTCCTTGAGTGATGCTCCCGATCGTAACGCCAATATTTGTTTCTGGATTCACCAGCTTGTTCGGACAGCATCCCTATTGGTAATGGGCTGGCCTCAATGATTTGCCAACCGTGAATTAGTATTTTGTGCAGTGTTACTGACATGTAATACCAGTTATATTTTTGTACATATTTTTCAGCTACAGATGCACAAAATTGACGGAATTTATCAACATCTATTGGCAAACTACTTGAGAGCACCACCAAAATAGTATGCAAATCATCTACAAACCCTCTGTCTATACCTAAAATGTCTGCAAAAGTGTTTCGGTGTTGATCTGAAAATGCTGTACGTGCGCTATTTCCATCATTCGTTGTTCCGGAATTCGGACGAACGACATCAACCAAAAGGGACATTTTGCTTCTTATTTCTGATTGTATAGCTTTCTTTCTATTCTCTATGATAGATGCTTCAGGAGATTTTTTAGCCACTCTCCACTTCCGAACAGCAGGGTCGTTTTTATAGCCTAAGTGAAGTAAAAATTCGAAAAGTCGAATCCATGCATGTAGAGGGCTCAAACCGTGAAGTAGAGTATTTGGCTTCACGGGCTTTTTTGTGACCAGATCCAGCTTATTAAATTCTGTTGCCGTAGCCCCACAACAAGCACAACGTAATTGGGAAGTTGTTTCAGTAATTACATTGTATATCTTCCCATCTATAACCGTTAGGTATAGCTTTGGATCTGCAATCACAGCATGACCCATACAAGTTTCTGCATAAAGTGATGTCAGATCTTTAATTTCTTCCTCTACACGATTTTTTTCATTAATACATAAATCTTTAGTTTCTGCCCGATATTGGATTCGCAGAGGACGACAGAATCTGAAGGATTGAGCATTAGGGTTCGACCACAATACAAAATTATCACCAGTTTTCAAAAGTAATGGAATGTATGTAGTGGCGAACAAACAATTCTCATTATTATTGTCATCTGAAAATCTCTGCTTATAGAACGCCTGTCCTGTACTGCCATCGAACCCCCACGAACCTTCTAATACGCAATGAAGTTGATCTTTTTGTTCACTTTGTTCACAGTACTCATTAATGATCTTCTCGGAAGCTTGAACGATTCGACGGAATGTATGTAAAAGTAAACTGAACAAAGGAATACTTGCTTCTCTTTCCGTGACCTGTATATCATCTTCCGGATAACATAGTTTTCTTGCTATTTGAACTTTATAATAAGGTGGGTATGCATGAAATCCTCGCGCTTTTAAATCTTTTTGTATTGTTGAGTAATCATCTACAGTAAGTTTTTTATCAATGATTAAAGATAGGGCTTCTTCAGGGGTAAAAGGTACGGGTTTTGTCACTTCTGATTTTATCATGTTTGCAATTTCCCTGGATCGATATGGACTCTTCAAACATTCATTTATAACAAATTCCAAATCTTGAGCAGAACTTTTTTTCAGTTTTTCACCTTCTTTATCACTGGCAACTTTCACCATAACTTTAATAATTTTTGATAGTGGTTGATCTTCAAGTGATTCTTCTAAACTTTTCCGTGCACGCCGTTTTTGACGATCACTGAGATTTTCATACGATGTGACAGTGGACGAAGTTTCAAAAGAACTACCAGGTGTTGCGTCTAATAACCTCTCTTGTTCATGTTTCTGAGATTGTGTTGCCTCACTTCGAGAATTTTTATCAATAGCCAACTGTGATTCATGATTTTGTGATGTAATAGTCTCGTTTCGTGGGAAAGTTTCTATTACAGGTTCTTTTTGTTGTAATTGCTCAGCATGTTGTGAAACTTGGCTTTCTAACACTTTCGATCTTGGAACTTCAATATCAAATGTTTGAGTAAGCCAAATCGCATTCTTTTGACGAAAATAATCCATATTTCGCTTACAATTCTTGTACAGTGTTTCACACTTACTTGTAAATTTTGATACAGTATCTTTTAATGTTTGGTTGGAAACATCGATATCGTCAGGAATACCATTAGGATACAATTCGTTCAATATACAATTAGTTCGCTCGTTAATATCGAGGTCTAAAGGTCTGTATTTTGATCCACGTGATCGTGCTTTTTTTAAGAAAATTTCATAAACATCCAGTCGGGTAAGAGTTTTAATCGAATCCTGATCCTTGCCTTTATCGTCTTCTCCTAGCATCAAAGCAGACACTCCCGGAGAGTTATGAGTGTCAGCATTCGCCACTCGCCGACCAGCATAAGGGTTGGCGTCCTCATGCCCCTCTAGCATTAAGTCCCCCGGTCGAGGCCCGGGAGGACATCCCCCCGCAGAATGGGTCAATTCCTGCGGAGGCAAAGTAGCATCATGGGTTTTTGACGGCTCCATGATGCCTCACCCCCGCTCCTCTAGACATCATGTATAGGTATTGGGTTTCAGCAAATGCTTGACGAGGGCGGACCCCTTCCCAATACCACATGATGTCCTTCATCGAAGATTCTGACCCAATCTGATAAAAGAACATAGCGTGAAAAATACTATCATAATAATATCACATAATAATAATATTGAATGTCAATCAAGTGTAATCACAGGACTACTTGCAGCTACGGTTAACACTCAAATAGATATGGCGACAGGTTATCAACATAATCATGTTAAAGAATTCAATTTCACTTAGTAGACTGTAAGGGCATGCGCGGGATGATAGATAAGCAGTTGAATGTATTTTATTTATATTCAGTACAGCAGAGAAGTATTTAAGAGTAGAAAACAAATTTACAACTTATGCTTGCTAAAAGTTAATGAGCAAATATTTAAGTGAGATACTTAATTCATTATATTTTTATATTAAGCATTTGACTGCTAGATATTTTAAATCAAAAGATTTTTTTTTTGAGATTATATTGATTGACAAATTACACACCCATACTATAATTGACAACCCTAACTTATAATTTAAAAAAATCATATCTCGAAGATCCTGAGGTTCTAGCGTTTGATTTTTTTTGTGTTGCTGTTAAACATTATTAGGCATCATTCGATTTTAAAAATAAATGCTAATACGATGAGAATTTGGAGAAAAAAATATTTTTCCATATTTGAGAAAAATAATTAGTTCTTTGCCTAAATGTATCCGAATTAATTTTTTTTTTCATGTACTGATACTTAAATTGATTGTCTATAAAACTATACCACTATTGTAAAAAAAAAATGTACGGTAAGAGATATAATGCATTTCTATGGTTTCTATGGGAATTTCTCGAGATTTAAAATATCTTCATAACTAAACGGAACATGCCTATGGTTTCTTTGTGAAAGTTTTAGTTCTTACTTAGATCCATCAAATGGGAATATAAACTGAACATGACCGGAACCAAGGCAAAATCTCACACTGTGCCTGGGAGCAAGCTTCCATTTATACATTCAACTCAACACATAACGAAAATGCAGCGGGGGCAGTAAGCGCATGTAATTATGTGAAACATACTAATTCTTGTAAGACAAAATTCTTCCAATATGTAAAATTCAGGTAAAGATTATAAATATAAGAGGATAATTGAACCAAGCTTCTAAATTCAAGAAAATCATTGGAAATAGTTGGACTTTCAATATATAGGCAACCTAAAGTGAGTTTGGATTTTGCTTCAACCCCTTTTGCGATTAATAGAACAATGCCCTTTCGGTCAGTCTATTGAGGTAGGTACCTGAGTACTTTTTTTTTTGAACTATCCATATTGCTTTAAAATAATTTTTGTCTTAACCTTTAACATTCTAGTTTCTTGAACTCTAACATACGCAATAAGTTAGCACAACACTTTTGTCGAAATATATATATTTTTTGCATTGCATTAATTAAGTGCAGTTTTTCGAAAGCTTTTTGAAACTGACAAAAATTGCAATTTTTTAATGTATTTGTTTAATGATATGGCTGTTAGAAGTAGAGTAATAAGGTGTGTCATGCTAACTCAATGTTAAGTTAGAAAAAACCCCTATAAAAAAAAAACTAAGAGCTGCAATTTTTTTGTTTTGCACTGCAAAAAAACTGTAATTAATGCAAAAAAAATATCGACTAGTGTTGTGCTTACTTAACGCACGTAACTGTAACTAACTATTAGCAATGGGAATATTCAATGGCAAAGCATTCCAAAGACGTACAGCTGAAATATTTTGAAACAAAGCTAGAATGAAACTTTAAGGGATAAGTGTCTGCAAGAGCAAAGATCATGCTGTTTGAAGGGGCCCAAAAACTGAAACCTAGATTTCAGGTATTCTGGGGCAAATGGTTCTTATAACACACTGAAAAGCCTGCATACAATTCTGAGATTTCTAGTCATGTATGAACAGCCAAGAGAACAACGTTGGGTTGTTTATTCTGGTATCAAAAAGTATTGTAAACTTTGTTTGAATTTTGTACAGCTCCAAAATTAAGTGGTGTTAAGCAGAAAGCAACCAGGAAGCTAGCATAAATTATTTCTATGGATCAATGTTAAAGTATGATAGTGAAAGCAGTGAGCGAGCATTGGTAATTTTTAGGATCAAACAAATGTAGAACAAATTTTCACTTTCTTAAAAAATGCTCACTGGTCTTTTTCTGCTTAACAACTGTCAATTGAGACTTACCTCTATCGTCAACTAATAACAGTTTCCCTTGCACTGAGTTTCTACAAGTGATACTATCATTTGCACCTTTATGTTCTTGAAGACTCCGCCATACAAATGGCTTCCTTTCAATCAATATTTCTTGGTACATCATATTTCTGCTATTACCCTGTAAGTAACAATAAAATATGATTAGCCTATTCACAAAACAATGATTGTGCTAAGATTATATAAATTGCAACTTTTTAACATGTGTAATGTGTGTCAGCATCAGTTACTTACAGTATTTTTAAGTTATGGTTATGTTTTTATATATGTAGACTTTTACAGCACTTGATAACAAAAACAGCCACTATGGTTATCTTGCTTTTATGGTTTTAAAAGTATTTAAATACATTATTGATATAATACCATTTAAAGTAATTTTAAACTAACCTCTCTTAGAAAGCTGACAATACAATAGGTCAGAGAAGATGCAAATATAATTCCAAGGACAAGACGTCTTCGTATAAACCTGATTAACGCAGCATACCACATTTTACAACGTAAGGTTCCATTCAGTAAAACGAAACATAAATTAATATACGTGTAGGACCCACAAATTAACATCTTCAGAGATTATCGCATGAGTGACGCGTCGGCCTCAACATTTTCCGTACCACCATTTTGAACAACAAATTATTAAATCAATATTTTGACAATAACAAACGTATTCCCTAAAAATATTAAAATAAAACGTGACACAATATTATTCTTCTTAGCATATAATTTCATAGGACATTAATACAACAAATACCTAATAAATACGTAATCAGATGAGCAAACCACAGGAGTGAGCTCAGAGCTCACTGCTCACAAACAAAACACATTCATACTGTTCTGTCAGTGTCAGTCAGCTTAGCTGTCACTGTCAATTTAATGTCACCTTCTTTATGAAGGCAAAGAATACTAAATCCATACAGCCTATTTTATTTCGACTTCTTGAAGTAAATGACCTATCGCTACTCCTACTCTCTAAGCTACAAAACTTTAACTTTAAATTTGTATTTATACTATATGACACAGCAATCAAAATGCAGTTTAACAATTATCATCTCTGAAGTCATTTTTCAACTTGATGAGTGATGACTCTGTAAATAATAAAACAGGGAGAAAAATACAGCCCTTGCTGAGTTTCTTGCCGGTTCTTCTCAGTACAAGGTATCCTGCCGTAGATTTACGAATCCAATGGCGTAGCTTCCAGACATTCATGAGTGCTTGTAACAACATATACAGAATAAATAATTTTGATTATGAATAGGTATACAGAATGTCCCAAACCTTTGCCATTCTCAATGGCAGACTTTTGATGACTGTTTTTGCACTGCCACAACTAGGCATTTTTTTATCATAATTTTGTAAGAATACCATATGAGAATTATGTAAATTTTATTTTCTCCATATTCCCATAAACTTCTTAGGTAATTAATAATTATTACATTTTTGTAATTTTCTGTTTATCTAATAGTAACTTAGACCATAAATAGTAATAATAGTAGTCTAATAGTAGTAAGTAATTTTCTGTCTATATAATTAATAATTATCCTAAAATTTTAATCCTAATAAACAGAAAATTACAAAAATGTTAAACATACAAGCTTTCAATAAGTAAAGCATGTATTCTAACTTAAGTCATGAGGAAGGAATAAGATTTTACAGGCTCGGCCTAGTTTAGGTACTAGTTTAATGGTGTCGATTCTAGCATGATTCTTTAAATTTAAAACTAAATTTAAATCAATCTCTCCTTTTTATTCTTTAAAGGGAATGATAAGGATAAACTGTTGTCAAATTTAAGTTTAGTGTTAGAGAATCATGCTAGAATCGACACCATTGTATACTATCCATAAAAATCAAGTTGTAGAACACAGAACACAGAAAGAGGTTAGAATGGCCTTGTGGGCGGGGCAGGCGCGTCACAGTTATGAGCAAATGCCCATAACTTGATCGTAACGTCCAATCCCGTCGTTTAGTTGCCTGCGAACGCTCAGTGAGAGTATTGTCATTACCGCTTAAAATATGCCTTCGTGTGCCGTAATTACGTGCAAAGTAAGGAGTCAATCATCAAATCTACCTAAAGCAGGAATTTCTTTTCATCGGTAAGTATAAAACTTCTTAGTTAGACTGATATTTTAGCAAAAAATCGAGAAATATTAATTAAACGATAAATCACATATATATTTCCACAAAAATATTCATTGCTGACAAAGTACGCTCGCTATTCTTTCTACGACATTCAAAATACGTAATGTAGTACAACTCGAGCAAGAATGACGCGCGGATAAGAGCGCTGCACGTGGCCGCACGCAGTACAAGGTCATTGCACCTACTTTAGTGGTGTCTTGCGGCGTACATTTTACATTTTCGATAGATTTTATCGACTGAATTTTAGCACCTAGTAATGGAATTAAAGTAACCTTTAGAAATAAATAAAAGCTGATTGTAAATGTTTATCATACTTATACTTATAATATTATAAAGGCGAAAGTTTGTGAGTGTGTATGTTTGTTACTTCTTCACGTCTAAACGGCTGGAGCGATTTTAATAAAATTTGGTATAGAGTTAGCTGACACCCTGGATTAACATATAGGTTACGTTTTACTGCGGGAAATATGCCTAATAAACCGCAAGTAATACCGCAGGGCACAGCTAGTACAATATTAATATAAAGCTGAAGAGTTTGTATATAGTTCAGTCAAAATAGACATTTGACTTAGAAATAATTCGCTTAGAGCTGAAAATTGGCAGAGACGTAAAATACATCATTATAAATAAATTGTCAAAAATCCCCTTCGATCCTACTTCTGCAAAAAAAATCAACTCAAACGTACAAAATTATGGTTTTTTAATTTTCCTCGAAAACGGTAAGTTTTGTCATGAAAGTAGGCCAGACAAAAGTTGTAGACCATACAATTCTCTACAAAAATAGTCTGGTCACTTTTTCTCTCACGACTCACCATTCGTGAGATATCGAGGTTTTAATAATTAGAAAATTCATATTTTACATATTGAGTATGACTTAGTTGCTGCTAAAGCTAAGTACCACAATAACTGTTATAATATCTTTCTGAGACCTACTATGGGATAAAAATCTGCATGGAACACTAAAACAGTACAGTGGTATTGTGTCTAACTCCAACATCTGCTTCTGCCTTACAACACTTGTATCGTGTGTATTATCAAGTTCAAGTGTGGCTAAGCAATGAGCTGGACCCAGAAGAATGGGGTTGGAAATTAACAGATAATTATTTGGAGCCAATTCGAACTCGACTCCCGCCTGCTGCAGAAAAACTGCTTAATCCTTTTGTGTATCTGTAAAACGCATTACATTTTACGTTAAATCATTTTCTTTGTCTTTACTGACTTTGACAGGATACAAAAAAAACCATACAATCAAGTCAAGTCGATAAAATATTTCATCGACCCAGTGCCAACCACTAGCGCTAAAATCGGTGTGAATGAATGAACGCTCACAGTCACGGCTGTGAGCGCTGATTCGTTCGGTTGCTTGATGTCGTAGTGGGGGCACAGAATATATACACTACGCGAAAAGAAGCGACACTTAAGCATGTGTGCTCGTAAAATCGCCCGCGGCTATGTGTGGGTGTCTGGAGGTGTGCGGGGGCGTTGCGCGGCGCGCGGGGCGTGGAGAGGGCAGTCGCCGACTGCCTCGACCGAAGGGATGGCAGTAGCGAAATAGTAAAATAATAGCGTTGCACTGCATTGCACGCACAGACTGACTACGCTACGCAATCTTATTATTATTTAGATAATAATAAGAATTATAAAACGAATCGAAAAAGGAGAAAATATATAAAAACTATCAATTTGTTATAGTACCTACATTAAAAGATTAAAAATTGATTATAAAATCAAACCTATCCTTCAATATTTATCCCAGTATCCTTGAATCAGTTTACATTTAATAACTTACTATGCATAAATATTCATTGGCACAAGTCTAAATTCCAAGTTCAACCCTAGCGCATACACGCTCCTGCTCAAGGTCACTGACGCTGGAACTCTCACGTACACAGAGTGTCACCGCTGTGGTGGGGGCGAGCCGGCGACATCGGTTCTCATACTGGCGATCGCTTATCACCCTTCTAACCTCTTTCTGTGTTCTGTGGGTAGGCAGACCCGTCATACCCAGTGGGCACTTTGAGCAAGTGCCCAGGGCCCCGCGATCGATAGGGGGCCCCCTCAGATCAAATGTAAAGTCCCTAGTTCCTGTTAAATCACCAAACGGAAGTCATAGGGGCGCCATAATCCTAATATGCCCAGGGCCTCCAATAAGTCAAAGACGGCACTGTAGGTAGGTATCTAATTACTTATTGTAAATGCGATATAGGTAAAATAGGCGGGTAATAAAAATCAGCCTCATTAAAGAAAAAGAAAGTTTAATTTAAAAACTTATAATTTTTAGCTTTTTTTATTGCATAGTAGAAGTTTAAAAGTATCACAAATAAATAAAATCAATAAAGAACACATTGTAGCAGTTTCATTTTGAAATAAGACAACGAACGGTGGGGTCCGGGCGGACAGAACACAAAAATAAATCTAGATGATATTTTTATTTTTTAAGCATTTAACTGCTATTGTAGATGTTTAAATCTAAAGAAAAATTTCCGTCTGCTATCTGGCCACGTGTATCATGTAGCTGGAAGGTTGCCATAGGAACTCTGTAACGAAACGACGCAACCCCATCAAGTTTGGGCTCGTTTGATTTGTCTTAGCGAGTACTTTGTCTCTAGATAGTATGCAGAGTCTGATGATGGAGCTAGAAGGTGGCTGTAGGAACTCTGTAATGAAACGACACAACCCCACCATGTTTGGTTCCGTATGATTAGTCGTGACGAGTTCTTGACCCTAGATTATATCCATATGCAACACCATTATATTTGAACCTCTGGTGGGATGGACCGACTATGTCATATACCTGTGGGAACAACATGGTTAAAAAGACACAAAAAGGAAACGACGTTAAGTGAAGGCGAAATGTAGTAAATTACGAATCATGATTACTAAAAAGTTAAAAATAACAAAAAAACATTTTTTTAAAGAAACTTTTATTGCTCGTTACTAAAAATAACTAAAAAGTAAAAAATAATTTAAGTCTGATGTGAAATATAGGTACCATTTTATAGTACATTATGTCCCATTTTTTTTAATAAAGCGTGTAAGTTTTTGTCGGCAAGAGAAATAAAAAGGTTGTAACGCACTTTTATTAAAAAAATGGAATATTACGACTAAGACTTTTATTAACTCTTTTTTTCTTTTTGAATTTTGAATTTTTTTTTATATAGAACACATACCAGCCTATAATTATAAATAACTTGCTAGTTACAATAATAACTTACACATCTTTTTAGCTATGTGGGTATATAAAATAGTATAAATTCCAAGAAAAGTATTAAATCAACGCTGAAATGAAGAAGAAAGTGGTGACAGACCATTATTACTAAATGTTAAAAATAAACACAATGTAATTAAAAAAAAAGTGATTATTTAACTAAGTATTTTTATTAATTGCTATTCATGTTACACAAATTCTCATTCTTCTTCGTAATCTGCTTTTCGACCCCGGTTAGTTACGCCATTTTCGCGGGTTCATAATTTATCTTAAAGGCCCGTATTACAGAATGGCAAATAAGTGTTGATCTTTACTTGAGTACAGTTTGAAAGGGATGTCGCTATGTGCTATATATAGCGACATCCCTATATAAAGCACATAGCGACATCCCTTTCTAAATGCTCAAGATTAGATCAATCACTGAGAATATTTCTATAATACGGGCCTAAAAACCTTTTTGGAGTTCTGATTAATTCTTGGGTTAGTGTACCTGCGCGTAGTTCACAGATTAGCGCTTGATTAGGCCGCCGCAGTTTCCGACGACGTTCACGTTCAAGTTCATAATGCATCGTTGATCGGTGATCATTGGCGCCTCATCCACATCTCCGCAAAATAATAGATTTGTATTGCCGCATCGCATTTTACAACGTTCATCGATTTACAAAAAAATCCCGGTGTTACTACACGGGCAGAGGCATCGGGATACCTTAATTAATAAATAGATGAACAACTTACCTTAATTACTAAAAGAAGATTCACTCGAGCGTGGCAGAATAACATAAGGCGGCAACCTTGCACCTTGTGAGGTACTGTACCTCCTACCATACCCAGCCCTTTATATGGAGTCGAACGTAAAAAAATCAACAAACGGGCATGACTATTGGTCTAGCCATACACGAATACTTCTTTTGAACATGTTTCGTCTCAATTGAAGATGTAAATTTCCCATTAAAGGGGTATAGTGTGGGTCCATACCATGCCTTACAACTGAAGTGGATAGCGAAAAAGGAAGAGAATTTGTGTAAGAAATAGAGGTGGTAATGAAAAACACGAATTGTAATGAATAAAATAATTAAATAATTGGTGTTTTTCATTTCATAATATGTTGTTTTGTTAAACATTGACAATTTATGGTCTGAGACCACTTCTAAATTTCAGCGTTGCTTTGCCTACTTTATTTAGAATTTTATACCATTTTGGATAACTAATAACACGTGAAAGTTTTACTATACCTTGCAGGTTAACTTTCATTTAATTTTTTTAAATAAACCTATCGGAAATTTACGAAACATTCAAACAGTTGAATAGCTGCCACTTTAACCAGATATCAATTTTTATCAATTTTATATGACATACCCTCTACATAAAAACAGTGAAAATAAATCTGATCCAAGAGACGAAATGAATTAAATAAACACAAAATTAGAGCAAAAAAGGTACTTTTATGAAAACAATTAAAAACCATTCTTTTAAAACGGTTAAATATCTACGTCAATTTTACCTTTAACTGTGTTTAAATAAATCAATTATTTTTGTATGGGGGTGTACGTTTACTGTTCATAATAGAATCCGTTCTCATTGAGAATTTTTATTTAAACGATTTTAAAGTTTCTCAGGTAACACAAAATTTACGGTGTAACTGTAAGAAAATTCAGACAGCCAACAATATTTTAGATAATTTAGAAGCAGGGCGCATCCAAAACAAAACGATTAACATGCTGTTTGTTGACTTGTCTTATACACCCTAAATTTTGAGTTACTTAGCACGCACCAAAATTTAACTTTTCTATTGTATCATAGGAGAGAAGAAAAACGACGTTACTATATTTTGAAACTCGTATTTATTATCACATTGTATCACTTATGGTAAAATCGAAGAAAGCCACGGCAATTTCCCCGTAGTTTTGAAATTTCGCCAATCGTATAAGAATCGACCTAGAACTAGTAAAATTAAAGTGAGTAGCACCAGATTGACGATGTTGATGGGGCTGATAGGCATCTCCATTTCGCTGCTGCACACGTTACCAAGCGGCATTGTGCTTATCTGTAAAAAAAAGGTTTAGGTGTTTCCTCTATGTTTTTTTACATTATTTTTCTATTAATGTCAAAAAGATGAAAACAAGCCTAAGGTCCACCTGATGGTTTGGGTTTAAGTTAATATCATAGCCGCTCGAGGTTTGCGGCATCAGAGTTTAAATAAATATCAATCACGCTGATCAGTAGAGTGCCTCAGAACTGAGGCTACGCTCAATTTTATTTATCTTTTTGCGCGGGGCCATATCAAAGAGACCTGTAAGTATAGCGTAAGTTTATTGTGTTTGCACTGAATATTCAAATGTCAGCCTGGCTATTTATTTATTATTTTTTCTAACAGTGTGTACTCAGTGAGCTTTCAGTTTAATTGCAATTTAGTAGAGGCCAAGTACTATCTATTTATTTTTAGTGGTTTTGTTTGTATGAAGTCGGTATCTTTTTGCCAAAAGGAAGCAAAAAAGTAAGGTATTATTTTTCACTTTTCATAAATCGGAGCTGTCTAAGCTTAGGCACCTGGCCAGCATTCTCTCATTTATTTTTCATAAAATGTCCAAACTCAATAAATAAACAGTTTATCGTTGAGGTGAGATAGAGGGAGTGAAGTATACATAGACGAGTAAATATCAAACACATAGAAATTGCTAGAAATTTGTCTAATTTTTTTATGTGTTTCCTCGATTGGTTCATGATCATCCCATCATCTTATCCTGACTTGTTTATTTTTGATAACTAGCAATAATTATTAAAATGGGTTGTTAATTATCAAGAATATAGGAAATATGGAAAATTTCCAAAAAAATGCAATTAACACGAATACAAATCCGCCTTCCTTTTTTTGAATCCAGTTAAAAAATAGAAAAACTTTGACAGTGTTGCAGGATTCATTTGAGGGGGTGACCGTTCAGGGGGAGCGCACGCTTCAAGTACTAGAAAATCTCCCGTTTTTAGGACGCATGAATATACGAATAACTATCAAACACATCGAAATTGCTTCACATGTGCCTATATTTTTTTAAGATATTGATTTGTTAAGGATCTCGTCATCTAAACCTTTTATTTCGATAACGGGGAGAGATAATGCATTATATCCACTACAACTTGTTGATTTTTGATAACTAGCAAAAAATGTAAATGGGTGGAAAATACACAAGAAAATATGGAAATTTAACAAAAAATACAATGAACATTAACAATACAAAACCTCCTTCATTTTTTATTCCAGTGAAAAATTAAAAAACACCGATAGTGTTGGCAGTTTTACTTGTTTTCAAATACAGTGCGAAATCGATACATAACTCATATCAACGTTTCATTCGTATCATCATTCTATAGCTGTTTTTTATTGTTTGTTGATTTTACTTGTTCGTTTCGTTTTACTATAAGTTTAATGTATTTTTTTATTTTATGTGTATGTTATGTGCTGTCAACAATAAAAACAGTTTTCTTTCTTTTCTTTCTTTCTTTCTTTCAACGAAAATGGAAGCTTTTTTTCGTTTGATAACTTGTTATTAAACAAGAATGTGTTTTCTGCCTTTGTATTTTTTGGTAACCGACTACTTTGCTTTTTTCAAAGTTTAGTCACCAAATTTAGGGGTCAGTCGCCTAGCGGGATTACTCAAATGCCTCGTGCTCTTTCTTTCTTTTGTATTGGTAATAACAATTTTAGAGAAAAGGATAAGCGTGAGGTATTTAAAAACCTTCGCCGGCTTTGCTAAATCCCCCTAACTGTACAAATAACACAAGTTTGTATAATCACTTATACACAACATCATAGGCATTTAGAAAGCATTTAGAAGATAAGAACTTACCTCTCCATAAAATCTACCATCATTATAAACTGCGTTGGACTCATTGTGAGAAGGTTTACAAACAAATGCGAAGCTGCACAACAAAGACCCTTTTCATTTTCGACCCAAATGTTTTGAATTACTTACACATGCACATTTTATGCACTTGAGGCCGTCTCAAAAGCCTGCCCACCCTAATAAATATCACTTGAATTCCACTTGACCCTATGAGATTTTGCCCTAAGAGGTTTTGTTTCACAAAGAAAATAATGTTTAATTGATGATTGACTTCATTACTATCGAGTTCACAATAGTACTCTAGCGTTATTTCATGCTGCCACTTCATTATCGTGATCGTTATCGAATAGTAAGTAAATACCATTACTTACTATACGATTACGAGAGTTGATCGTGCTTGGGGTACAGAAATAACAAAATGAAATCGTAAGCGATAGCCATCCATAGTAATCCCGTTAGGCAATTGGCCCCCTGAACACTACCACACTGCATTTTTTGATTTCTTAAATTGCTGAATATATCTATAGATTTAACAAAAAAACGTGTTGGCATTATAGCTGTAAGTTTTTAATTTGTGTTTAAATAAATAAATATTAATAAGTACACTACTACGGCCAAAACCTTTGAGGAAAGAAAATAATTTAAAGATGCGGTTTTCACTAAGAGGCATAAGGTATATTATATACAAAACATACTATTAAAAATTGGTTAGCAAATATTCATTCCTTATAAATAAATATATTAAGTTAATGTATGTATATGTTTAGTTTGTTTTATTTAATTTAATGTTATATTTGGTTGCCTCTAAATGGCCTGGCGGAACCTTATGAGAAGAGTTGGTAATATAAAATATGATTTTTAACGAAGTTAGCGGCGTTAGTTCTAGTAGTGTTTTGTTTTTGTCGGTGATTAAGGTTCCAGGGTTCCACGGGGTTGGGGATGGGGTGAGGTTAGGCAACGGAGCGAGTGACATTTTTTGTATCGCAAGCGTCTACAATAGGTAATGGTGACCATGACCATCAGGCGCCCAAAAAAGTGGTTTGCCACATTTTTAACAAAAAAAAAAAACATTTCGCCACTTTCATAAAGATCCTTGTCGCACTGTAACGGGAGGGGTACCAATACTTCCGAGTGATGAATGGCGAAAATAAGGAAAGGATATTATTTTTCCTCAAAATGAAAATTGATTTTGAATATTAAAAGGCCCTTCGTTTATCACTGTGACATATTCATTAAGCGAGATTTATTTTATAAAATTGTAGGTTTTATTTTTAGGCTGCCTGTTTTCCACATGGTCCACAAAAGAAAAAAGAACGATTTATACTACACCTGCTCGGAAAGTGCTATAATCTTGTTTAAAAATGAAACGGAAAGGACCACATTACTGATGTACTACTAAGCAGGGTGGAAAAGTATATGGAAATCAATTTTTAACGCGCCGAGCAACCAGAAAAGTCTATGGAAATTGATTGTGACGTGCAGTTTTTTTAATTTTCTTTTTTTTTATTTATGTTCCGAAAAGTGATCAGTATGATTTTGCAGACTTAATTTTGAAAAAAGGAACATTAAGTTTTGATTATTTAATTGCTGGTTATTTAATTTCAACTGAGTTTTTAATTTGTGTTTCTATCTACTCGAGACGGCGTATATTAATAAGAATGAAGATTTATTGACACCGCCAGAATTAAAAGAAACGACCTAAACAGTCATTGAGAACCTTTACCCATGAAATCAAGGGAACAACAGGTAAAAAGCTCCCAGGCAAAAGTTTAATAACTGTAACAACTTTAATATAAATCTCAAATTATAGAATTAGCCTTATTTCGTCGTAGGTATAGTATAAAGCACTATGTATCCCTTGAAAGAAAATGCTATTCCCAACTCGGGTGTATTAAGGCCCTTGGCTGACCTCAGGCCCCAAACGACACCCTGGGTTGTAATCGGTCACTTTCTCCTCTCGGTGAACAATGTTCTATTTTTCTCTGAACTAAATGATATAAATACATAATAGTTGTATCAACACCTAATATGTATAGTACATGGTAGTTTTATGTTCGTTTTGTTGCGTTATCTGTAATAAATATAACTAAATAAACTCAAATGTCACGTTAAAATAATGTTTATACAAAGCCGGGGCGGATCGGTAGTGTAATAAAAAACCAGGAGTTTTGAGTGGGTATGTGGAAAATCGGCAGATTTTCTAAATCGGGAAAAACGAGACTTGCCTAATGGTTCCTGCTAGATTAGTAGATCTTATGACGGTCATTCTCCCGTAACTAGAATATGTTTAACGGGCTATTCGGTTCTATTGCAGGTGAATAAATCTCAAACTAAAGAATTAGTTTTTGGGGCAAATCGTAAGTGGCCCGCATAAATATTTGCACGATAAGTGAAAAGGTAGCCCAACCTCTAGTCCTTTACGTTCTTTGTTTTATTCATGATCAAAGGTTTCTACTGAATTGAATAACGACAAAAGGAAAAATAGGTCTATATTTATTGTTTAACTAAGTAGGTATACAAGAGGGGACTTTGTTTAGATTTTTGTAGACCTTTTTTCTTTACCAAACTGATTCCGGACCGTCCACAAAAATAAGCAATTTTTAGTCCCAAATTTCATAAAACTTTTACTGTGGAAACTATATAACGTATAAGTATAATACTCAAATAAGTATATAAACGTTCCCATACGACCTCCATGGCCGAGTGGAATGCACACTAGGTTTCAAGGTGTCGCCTACACGTGAGGGTTCGAATCCCAGCGAGTAAATGTTAGTATGATGAATACGAGCATTTGAACCTAAGTCATGGATGCTTATATGTATTTCTACATAAAGAAATATATTTATGTAATATCTTTGATTATTTACTCTCTAGATAGAGTGTGGCAGTGCAGATACGTTGAAATAAAATAGCTCCTACCTGGTGGGGTCTAAGTCGTTTCCCGTCACTTGGTGTTCAGTGCAACGCTAAGTATTTAGCACGTCAATTAGCAAGTTTCGTGTTGAAATTATTGCTTAAAAATGCCGAGCTGCGAGATAAATGTTTGTCGAAATTACAAAGGACGCATAAAAACAACCAACACAGTCACTTACCATCGGTAAGTAACACATTATTCACCTTAAAAAAATATATATCATCATATTAGTTTAAAAATTTTACGACTACATTTTGGCTTTTTCAAAGTTATGTCGGTGCGGTGTCGCCA